TATATATATATATATATATATATATATATATATATATATATATATGGGTTTTTAAAATTACTTTCCCCACTTTTCTGCTAGATTGAGTATTTGAAGACTATACTATGTGGTGTCTATTATCAAGTTAGCTTCAGTTCAAAATCTGTCCAAAATGTACAGCTGAGATACAATGCTTGTTATTAATGGAATGCAAAAGGTCATTATCTGCATTTTGTGACATATTGGCACATATGCCAGTTCACAGACTTTCCAAGCTAGTGTCTGACTAGTCATAAAAACATTATGATCTTTGTAGAACCTTAAAGAGTAATTCGCTCCATTTGCCATATGTTTTTGTGGACTACAATCAGTTACATTACATACATGATACATTGTGGCTAATGTAAAGCTAAAAGCTAATATAAAATGAGATCTGTTTGTCTTTAAAGTGCAACAGATTAATATGGCTGCTGTCCTTCAGGTTAGTCTAATAACCACACAGCAGGGGTGGAATACTCCCCCCCCCCCCAATCCTGATAATGTCCCTCACAAAATATTATCTTCATATGTGCAGGTCTTTTTGTGTGGCGATATTATCTTCCTCATACAATAGGCAGGGGGTTGGAAATAATTTATCAAGTCATCACATGCGTAAAAATCTGGGCAGAGTATTGTTCATTATTGTTATGTCTCACATTTGGTGCATGCTGATAAAGTAACCTGTGTGCCAATCTGTCCAAGAAAGCAGAATACTAGCTTAGTGTGAAGTGATGCATAAAACATGCCCAAATCAGATTTCTAATTCTAAATTTCCAATCAAGGCCAGGGTCCAATTAATCCCAAATGGAGTAGATCTACAGAAGTAAAGGAATTTACCTAGATGCTGAGTCAACAATTTATCACTGATTAAGTGAGGCTCCTGTGGCTGAGGGTTAGCAGCTAGATTTAGTGTTAAAGACATCACATGAGATGTGAAATAATCACAACACAGTTATAGTAATATGCCAGAATAATCATCATGCCATGGTAATAGGACAATCAGGTGGAGCATACTGATAGTAGCCTTTGAGAAATAAGAAAGTGTCAGAATGCTCAAGAAGTTGAAATTGTTATTAATTTTTTGTATTAGATAACATTATGTGTGTATTATACCTTAATATAATAAACACATAAACAACAGCATACATTCAAACACTCCCAAACACTGTGGATACCTGAAATAATGGATAATAGTAAACCCTATATTTTGACCATATTTTGGCCTGAAACATACTGCAGAATGACACTGGAGGATCTAAATAGACCCCCTCCCAAGGAGAAAAATATTTTTGGGCACATGGCTAACGGTGAATTTTGAATCCATTGATAAGAAGACCATACTATACAGTATTGTGTTTTGTTGGAAAAGAGAGGCAATGTTTACAGCATACCATCATAGTTTTATTTCTGTATGTCAGAAGCTAAAAAGATAAAGATCCAAATCAAATATAACTAATCAGATATCTAATTATCCCCTGTAATCAAGATAATTGCAAAACAATTGGAAGCCATCAAATTAAAAACAAAACACTCATGAGAAATCCATAAATATATGAATAAATTTTAAGAACCTGGAAATCATTGGTGCAGTATATTTAGAGTAAAAAGCATGGGTATTAACAAAATAGATTATTGTAAAAAAACAACAACACTATAGTGTTAAAATCTGTTAAAGCAAGGTGTCTTAATTTTACATGGTAATAATAAAAAGGAGGGGAAAGTGACATTCCTTTAAAAAGCAACAAGAAAAGTTCTCTCTCACCAGTCATCACTTTGCCTCTACATATATCAATATGCTCAGTATTACAGCCTGTTCAAATCTAATTTCCAAACTACACTACCTACCAGCTGTGAAATAAATGACAGTTGGCAGTTACCCAAACAAATATCTAATAATTGTTCACATTATAAATATTCAACCTTTACACAGTACAGAGTATGTAAAACAGATACCCTTTTTCCAAAAATAAGACCTCTCCCAAAAATAAGCCCTAGCATGACTTTTCAGGATTTTTGAGGGTGCTTGAAATACAAGCCATACTTCATAAAAACATCAATTTGGAAAAATAAGACATCACCTGAAAATAAGACCTAATGCATATTTGGAGCAACAGGATACTATTTGGACAAATTGGAATGTCCCCTCAAAAATACAGTTCTTATTGTGTTGCAGGAACACATCCCTATCTTTTCCATTTTATTTCTGACTCTGTACCAACATTTCTATTAAATTCATGCCCAGGAACAAAGTTAATAATTAACTGTGTTATACCTATACTTGTATAAACCATAGGTTTATACAAGTGATGTTTCAGGAAACCACCTCTGCTAAAGATTGAAGCAGCACCAGTAACAAAGCTAAAGCACAAATGACACAGTTTGACTTTTGCATTTAGTGAATTTATCCTTTTCTGTCTGAAATACTCAACAATGCAGGCTCAGTTGCTAGTACTGGACCTTGGCCACTTGGATCACACCATCATTGATTATGACCTTTTATACCCATGGCAGCATCCCAGAAAGTAATTATGTTTCCATGTTCCTACTGCTTGCTAACTGACATTTGGTTCAACTAGGTCCTATTCACTAGAGTATTGACAAAAATCAATGCATTTTCCAGTCTTGTTTCTGTGCTGACCTCTGCTGGTTTCACTTTCCATCAATACACTAGGCACCTATAGAGCTTATGAACTTATGTATACGCTCTGATTTGCTACATTTTCTACATGAAAGCTAGGCATTGTTAGTTCCACCTTCAAACACAGACTTTTAACTGTGAAGTGCAAAGAAGAACAATCCCAATTCTGACAAGGTTTTGATCTCTCCTTCTGCCTTTTCAAGCAGATTACTCACTCTTCCTCATTCCCATTCTGTCTAGTTAATAGGCATTTTGGCTTAGGTGATGGGCTTCATAGTCCAACTTATTCAGAGGGATTCAGATAAGTCTCTTACTTTAGGCTTTTGTTCTGAGATATCTTTCATCCATTACTGCAATAAGGCTTTCCCATTCTGTGACTTTTTCTTATTTATTTTATTTATTTTTATCCTGCCTTTCTCCTAATATAGGGGCTCAAAACAGTTTCTAGTTTCTTCTAGTTTCCTACTGTATTTTTTTGCATGTATGAGAGAACTTAAAGTTGTGCCCATGATGAACATTATCAGACTTACTCTAAAACTGACATGCCAACACTCATGTATAGCTATGGGAACTAGGTAAACTTCCCTTTGATTTTTATTACAATTTACTATTTTTTCCATTATGTTGTAGTAATCTGCAACATACACAAAACTCCAAACCTTCTGTTCGAGCCTAAAAACATGGCTATTTACATAGGTCTTTGACCTGGAGTAATGTACTATGATCATGTGATGACGTCAATCATTGTTATTTGGCACTTTAGTTTGTGTTTGAAAAAAACAATTGGCCCGCAAGTATTACTGTGTTTTAGATTTTTTTAAAAAAGAAATGATTTTATCAATTGACATTGTCCATTGTTTGTATCCTCTCAAATGGGTATTTTTGATGATATGTAATTCTATTTCATGTTTGCCACCTTGAGTGCTTTGTTAGCTGCACCGATTCCCTTCGCAGAGATGGTGGCAGTGTACAAATAAATTATTATTATTATTATTATTATTATTATTATTATTATTATGTGTCACCATTTTTGAAATAGAGCTCATTTTAAAACCTCATTCTCATCCTTCTCTTTTACTTTCCCACTGACTTCCAAGAGAAAAAAAATCTTACCTGTGAAATTGAATAAGGGACAACTTGGGGTATTTACTAAAGATACCACAACCTATGCAAACTATAAGTTATAGTCAGATTAATACTAAATTTCTCATGATCCATGACAGAAAACCCATTCCTCCACATGAGAAGCATCAAGTCCTTTTTCTTCTTGGTCTGCAATGACTCCCCCCACCCCTACATTTCAGTTTGTGTTTTGCTTGGAAATGGGTGGGTAACAATGACATCAAATCTTATTATGACCTATACTAAATTTCAGAGGGCTTCATCTGTAATGTAGTAAAGCTTGCTAGGACCTCATCATATTGGGGGGAGAGAGAGAAATGTGGAGGAAACTGTCTAAAAGACATTATGGAACCTTAGCAATTAAGATTAGAAAAATATTTCATAGAAGTGTTTAATTAAATGCACACTATTGTGTGCATCTCCAAATCCTTGGTAAAACTGGTTTCATTTTGCTTTAATGGAGCTGATGGATGGGGAGTGGAATCACTCCAGCAAATTCTGCCTTTACAAAAAGTGATGTTCATAGAAAGAAGGAATGATATAAGCAGAAATCCATCTTCTTTTTTCTAGGAATGAATAAGACCGTAGTTCTGCTGCTGAAACCATTTTAAGGACAAACCAATGAATGGCATGTTGCTTATTTTCCTATATCAGATGCATCACTGCACTTAGTCTTTCATAAAAGATCAACAGCATGGAGGCATAAGATGAATTCTAATACCCTACTGATAACCCATTCACCTAGCTGACTAAGCTTATTGTGTGTTACTTTATTCCCACTGGAATGTATCACTTCTGCACAATGGATAAGCTATTATGAAGAAAGCCAACATGTGGTGAAAGTTTCAAACATTATTACTATTATGTGGCAATAATGTTCTCTGCATGAAAAATATGTTTACATTTTTCAACACATTCATCAGTATTCAGAGGAAGCTATTACATTTCTTTTAGTCTCCAGACATCATTAGGCAGGGTTAAGGACATACATAGTATGTAGAAGTATGTTGTAGAAAGCAGAGTTTTAATTCTGGGGAAGAGACCATTCTGGGTGAGTAATTAGGAACAAATGACTGCAAAATATACATTTTGTTCCAAAAGCATTTTTTTAAAAAAGTACTTTATATTAACAAAACATTGCTATCTTATCTCAATACTTCCATATCCTATCAGCATAAATCCCCCAAAACTATCATCCAAAATTATGAAACGTTTTACTTACCAGGTGTGAAATTGTATCGTGCAGAAAATCCCAAAGATTCAAGTTCACCATCAGCAAAAAATTTAATCCACAGGAATCTGCCACTGGATTTTATTTTAGGTGGGTTTTGTTGTCCACAGAAACGACCAATTATTGGGGAAAAGCCAAAGGGTCCATCCCGCACTTCAATGTGATCAAATTTACACTCCCAAGAAGGTTCTATGGAATACTTTTCATCGAAGTGTAATTCAATACATTGTCTTGGAGCAGCTGAAGATTAAAACAGAACCATTTTAAATAGCTTTGTTCTTCAAAATATATGTACTTTCAAGAATATTGCTAATCTCCCAACCATTCTAACCCATATTTTATTGAATTTTATTGTCAGTTATGTCAAACAATCCTTGTTCAGAAAGAAATGTGAATGATGTAAACAAAGTGCACTTCATATCTTTTTATTTTCATATAAAATGGATTTCTCATTTAAAACATGTGTGTGGATGCTTTTCTGTTGTAGAGCAGGCAGTTGAATGTGATAACACACTGTGCATCTTTTGTCACTATGGCCAGGGTACATAGACTCTAACATGTGCATAATATCTTTTTCTCAATCCATCTGTCCTCATGTGATTTCTTCTTCTGAAACAGTGTGGGAGGGACACTGGGGACAGTTGGGAGAGGGCGATGTGTTTGTAAATTATTTGTGAACATAGCTTTCACCTTCAGCCATCTGGAGCATGCTGAGCAGAACTAGGTTTTCAACTTGTTCCCAATGGCAGGAATAAACTCTGGATGCAATTCATTAAGTAACAAAATCTAAACATTAACTTCTGAGGTTGATCAGAGTTCAGCCTTTTCTGAATTTGAGAACTTCATTAATGCTACCATTCTATATCCCCTTATCTAGGAGTAATAGATAAGTACTCAACGGGACTTGCTTCTGAATGGACAGATGAAGGAATGTGCTAAATGCAACTTTAAATAATAGGTTGTTAAAGAATTGCATGTTTAACCCCTCATGTTTTACGGTTCACACTGTTGAAGCTATGAATCCATCGTCCACAGTTTTTTCCCCCTTTGGATTAACAAAACAGATTGAACTACAGTGAAGTACCATGTGATGGATCAAAGGATTATTTAAGAGCTTTCTATACCCTTTGCCAAGGAATAGGGTCATGTGATGAACTTAAAGCATGAAGCAGAATTAAATTCTTTATTTTAGGAAACTTTGCCCTAATTCCAAATGGTAGTTCCAACAAGAGTAGAACTATTGAATGAATGGAAACTTGATAACTGAGCATTTAAGTAAATTTCATTGATTCAGTACTTTCACTCTAGTTGAGACTAGCAATCGGATTTAAACCTCTAGCTTTTCCCAAACGTATAATAAAATCTATCTTACCAAACGTGCAGTCTTCCTGCGGTAAGCACTATTTCTTATCCACAAGACTTTTTAAAATAAATTATCTATTGTAGTTGAATATTTTCAAATTTCAGAAATGTGTATTTTTTTTAAAAAAAAGATATGACTATATACATTCTACGATGCTGTGTGTTTTACTTTTCTGTTACTGTCATATGTTTCCTTCTACTTCTGAAACTTGAATCCTATTACAAGTTCTTGATATGCATGTGATTAGATCTACAACACTATAAAATTTATTTATTTTTACTTACTTCAGAGTAAGATGTATATTAATTTGAAGTTATATGGGGCAAATACTACTAAAGCATAGATTTTGCACGAAATATTTATGAACTACCACATGCAAAACTATGGTCTCTTTATTTTTTATGGTGCTACAACAGAAATCCATTGATAGAACTGCACAGTAGAGGCAAGAACTTCAGAATTAGCCCCAATTCTGTTATAATAATGGTACTGACTATTTATACATTCTAAATGGTTAATCAGCATTGACTTGCCAAACAGATAAAATGGCATAGCTGAAATAAAAAAGAAATATCTTGTCCTCAGGAGATGGTGAGGACAACAAGAGAACATTCCGAAGAAGAGGTTTTGTCACCCAGAAGGCAACAAGGAGGAAGAGAATAGAAAGTGATCCCCATCACTCTAGCAGGCATCTGGTGTTTTATTTAAAGCCTTGTTTGAAATGATGTTAACTGTATTTACAATGGTGAGGCACTAGAGTTCTCTGGTTTTAGTCTACATACCCCTCTCTAAACTGTACATTACAAGATTCCATATTATGTTGTTGTGGCAGTTAGAGGTAAATTATAGAAATATAATTGTATGTTGTAGTATAAAAGGACCCCATGTTTTTCCTTAAAATGCACTGCTTTCAATGCAAATGCATTGTATTATGGGGGGGAGCAATTCAGTGCCAAATGAAATTTTGGAGGGGTGGGGGGAATTCATTTTGGGTCTAAAGGATGGTGAGTAACAATTTTTTCAAGAGGATTAAACCCTTCCCATTACTCATGCTCTAATATTGAGACCTTTTCTTAAACCTTTCCTGAAACACAAAAAAGCAGTGACTTTAATCCTAAAAAACATCTTTCAGGCTAGATCTACACTACCATATAATCCAGATTATCAAATCAGATAATCCAGATTATTTTATTTGGAACATTTATATCCTGTCCTTCTCACCTCCAAAGAGGGACCCAGGACGGCTACCAACAGGCACTATTCAATGCCAACACCATATAAAACATAACATGCAATACAATTAGCATATATTAAAAACAGTTATAAATATACATTAAAAACAGTTAAATCATCTGATTTGAACTGGATTATATGAGTCTACACTCATATAATCCAGTCCAGTTCAAAGCAAATAATTTGAATTTTATATGGCACTGTAGATGGAGCCTCAGTACTCAAATGCCATGTAACTATCTTATGATAGTACTCACAGACTGCTACTGACTCCCTGAACATAATCTTGAAATCTCAAGCATATACAAGACCTCATGAAAGAGCTAAAATCGTGATTAGAACAGGAGTGTAAGTATCAGTTTAGCTGGCTAATTTGGTATTTTGATCCTGAAGTAGCTATTAGGCATTTTGTTGAATAATCTAAGGTTTTGAGCTGGTAATATTTAGATACACTTATTTTCAAGCAATTTTGCATTTTGACCTATGATTTTTCCTGGTCCAGCCAAATCTGCCTCATTCCATAACCTACCAAATTGAACTTCTTAACCAATTAGGTTCCACTACCTAACTCTGATGTAAATGTGTCTACATTAAGAGACCACTTATAACTTGGCTATTCTGCCAGAAAGCTAAACAGTTACTGGATTAATGCAGCCATTCAATGGCTGGCATTGCTTCATTTACCAAAACTAAGAAGGGTGATTTCTACTTGTACTTTCAGCCTCTGCATGACATCAGAACTACAAAATGCCTCCAGAAAAATGTTTTATCATCACAACAGACAGCAGGGAGCAACAGGAGAGAGAATGAGCCCCATCACTTTAGCAGATACTGGTGTTATATTTAAAGCCTCATTTTAACAGCTGTTGGAAATGATGTCCGACTTTTCCTGGATGGTCTCTCATACCTTACATCAACTGCTTTTGTAATGCATGTCTTTTTCTAATACAACACCTGCATTCCAAGATAGTACTGATCTAGACATGTTGTAAACACAGCAGACATTTCATAAGAATCTTACAGCAAATATTTCCATTACTTAGATTTGTCATTTTCCCTACACGTTTGAGGGGGAAAGTTCAACAAATAGGACCTGGCTTTCGAGCTGTCAAATTAACAGTCTGCACATAAACTATATTGTTTGTTATGACTCTGGAAACCATGTTAGATTGTATGGTTTTGGACAAAGTGTGTGTGCATTGTAAAAACAAAGATATTGCTAAGAAATTCAGAGATAATCTAAAGCAGCTGTCCTACAATGAGCTTTTACTATTTGAATTCTTAGCATTTTCTAAAAAGATAGGTTCTAATTACCTTTCTTCAAAGAGTCTTAATAACATGGAAAAGACTGCTTAATGCTTGCATGTCTTGTCATCTTTTTCATCTAATTATCTTATACAAGTACTATCTTGAGATTTTACATCTGCTTAAAAAGGCTCTGGGTTCTAACTAGAAACAGAGGAACAGTTGCCGAGAAATAGCCCCATACAATTAAGGTTTAAATTCTTACCAGCCTGTAATTTCATGTAGCTGACAGTGATGCAAAGCAGGAAAAAGGTCTGTTTCAGTTTAACAAAATGTCTGGAATTGAGAGATTGATCTAAACATCTCCCCTACATAAATGCGAGCTGGTACCACACTAATGGATTGGAATAATCCTTGATATCTCCAGTTGCTCAGCAATTGAATAGGGAGAGCCAGGGTCATTTTTCTTTCAAAAGGAGATTCACTACTGGCTTTGAAGAATGCATTTTGAATACAAGGAATCTGAATAGAATTAGAGGATAGCATTACTCATGCAGATAATTATATAGATGTGCTTTGGAAAAGCAAAATACCACTGCTTTTCAGCAGAGATATTGCTAGAAGAAGAAAAAGAAACACTTCATCAGTTTTACAAAAATGAAGATGGTCTTTGAGGAAATGGCTGCTAATAGTTTTGTATTGTGTTTAATAACTCAATCTTGTTTATGTCACAAGAAAATACAGGCTCCGTTTTCAAAATCTTCAGTGTTTATGTTTACAAATAAGAATGTTATTGGGAAACAATTACTGAGCAAAAACAATTTATTGAATAACGCAACCTCACATTTCTGGCTGAAATGGACAAGCAGACTTATTATATTTTAATAAATATATTTAAATATGGCTAAGACTTTCCATGGGACTGGAAGCATCAAACATGTGCATCATACAATTACACTTGTCACAAAGGCCTAATTGGCTGCAACATCCTCTTGGTGCACTTTGTTAGAAACATGGGTTAGCTGTCAAGTATTGTGTGAAATTACTATAAGGTTAAGTATTTTATTAATCATATAACATGATTGCTCTTGTTATCACTAAGCATTGATTAATAACTTTACTATCTGATACCAAATAAGTAAGTGAATACTGTGGTGTAAATGTTATATTAGTCTTACCTATAGTAAACCTACTGAAATCAATAGAATCCAGTGTAGTTATGACTAACAAATCATATTCATATCATATTGTCAAAGGCTTTCAGGTGCTTGCCATAGATGCAGGCGAAACGTCAGGAGAAAAATTGCCTCCAGAACATGGCCATATAGCCCGGAAAAACCTACAACAACCCATATTCATATCAATATGTCAACTCCAGGCAGGTCTAAAATTAGATTTTGCTTCTTCTATTAATTTCTCAGCCTGCACATGTGTGCAATATTTAGGTATCTGTAAATACGACAAAAACTCAGTCCTTAATTTGACCTTGGGAAACTACTTCAGATATTGTTACAATGTTATGTAATGAGGATGGGTGACTATATGTTTTTATTTCCCCTAATAATCTGAGAAATATTTGTAATTCTAAAAAGCCTATATCAAAAGCCGAGATATTTTCACACACTCTGTCGCCCTCCCTTTTCTGTTCTCTTCCTCTTTATCCTCCTTCTCCTCCTCATCCCCATTTTCTGTCCACTCACAAACATGATGAGTTAACTGCATAAATAAGAAAGGGAGAGAAATAACGCATTTCTCGAGTAATGTTTTGGGGGGAAAATCCCTTTTCTGTTGTATGTTATCCAGTCTAAAATGAACATATGCATGGAAATACTTTAAGAAACAAATCAAATCACTCTTCCAAACCAGTATCATGGGTCGAGAAACACCTAGATCAATGTGTTTAGGAATGTAATTATTTGCTGATGTTGTTTTTGGAGGAAGGAACAAGTAATGAGAAATGTTATTTCCACAATGAAAACATCTACAGAAAGTATGGATGGGGTTTTGTGGTAACCTATCTGCACAGGAAACAGCATTACTGCTCAGAAAATGTTATGTGCAGACATGGACAAGGACATCAGTATTTGTACATAAGTATCATGAATCGGAGCCCCCGGTTGCGCAGTGGGTTAAAGCACTGAGCTGCTGAGCTTGTTGATCGAAAGGTCGCAGGTTCGATTCCGGGGAGCGGCGTGAGCTTCCGCTGTCAGCCCTAGCTTCTGCCAACCTAGCAGTTCGAAAACATGCAAATGTGAGTAGATCAATAGGTATCGCTCCGGCAGGAAGGTAACGGCGCTCCATGCAGTCATGCTGGCCACATGACCTTGGAGGTGTCTACGGACAACGCTGGCTCTTCAGCTTAGAAATGGAGAGGAGGACCACACCCCAGAGTCAGACATGACTGGACTTAATGTCAGGGGATAACATGGGCTGCCAGAGAGATTTGCTTAGTGCAAATCTAGTGCCTAAACTCTCACTAGAAGCCAGAAGGACCACACTGAGACTACTGTATTTTTGCCCATATCATGGTAAACGAGAAGGATGATATTACAGGTGGATAAACTAATGTCTCAAGTTTGTAGGATCTGAGTAGGGCTATTGGTAACAGAAGATCTCTTCCTCATAGAGCTGCCATAACTTAACTGAAGCAAACTTGATGGCAGTTGAAAACAGCAAGTTTAAGTGTTCTTTGACTGCCAAGAAGGAAAGGTTGCTACAATAAAAATTGAGGTAGGAAAGAGAAGAGATAAGGGAATAGTAAGAGCCACAGTTCTGTGCCATGTTCCCTCAACTTAATTGTGAAGCTATAGAAGGAGATGGCTACTCTCTGTGTTTAATCTTTCAATTCTGGTCTTGCTTTCCCTTAACCAAAAAAAGGGGGAGTTAGAATGGAAACTGTCATAAAATGATATTTCATATCTCTGGCTGTGTAAATGAAATGTTGAGATGTGGCAGCTCCAGTGCTCTATTTTCCCCTGTTTTCAGGCAAAGAAAGAGAGAGATGAGCTGAGATAAGGCCAGCAGCTGCTATCATATAGTTGTGTTCTTACTCAGATTTTGCAATATATGAACATACTATACAGCTGTACTCTAATAGGTAGAAGTGAAAGAGGAAACAGGTCCAGTAAGATTGCAATTCCTCATCCTCCATGAAACCCAAGCACATATGGGTAGTTATGTGTGTAGTGTTACTAGACTGCCTACCTTACAACAGAAAAGCTTTATATTTTGCCATGCTGTCAAAAGACTTTCACAGTGATTCTTAAATCTAACCATTGTAGATATAACAAAAATATCAATTTAAAAAGAAGGAAGACTGTATTGGGTAGTTACCTTCTATAATGTAGACACACTCTCTGTCAGGAGGGTATTTGTTGGGGTAATTGGGGGAAGTGAAGATGCCTCCTTCTGGGTATTTTGTCCAGGTTCCACACTGCACTGTTTTTTGTCCTTCTGAAGTGGTTTGCTTTTCTGAAATAAAAACAAAGAGTGACACACGTGGCGCACGCACTGGAGCTTCTGCTTCCTTACTTGTAACAAGAAAGGATTAATATAGCCCTCCAGCTTTTGTTGGACTGCAACTTTCAGCAGTCTTAACTATTTTGGGAAATGTTTCATGCTTAATTTCTTGGTACCATTTTAAAAATAATCTTGAGACTTATTGAGGTTTTGTCTGTACTGACATTTATTAAGAAGATCATATTTTCAGTTCTTGTGGGTTTTTTCGGGCTATAGAGCCATGTTCTAGAGGCATTTCTCCTGACGTTTCGCCTGCATCTATGGCAAGCATCCTCAGAGGTTGAGAAGGTCTGTTGGAAGTAGGAAAAATGGGTTTATATATCTGTGGAATGGCTGGGGTGGGGCAAGGAGCTCTTCACTGCTGCAGTTAGGTGTGAATGTTTAGCTGATCACCTTCATTAGCATTTGAAGGCCTGCCTGAGCCTGGGAAAATCTGTTGCTGGGAGGTGTTAATCTGTGCCTGGTTTTTTCCTCTCTGTTGTTTAGCTGTTATAATTTTAGAGTTTTTTAATACTGGTAGCCAAATTTTGTTCATTTTGTTCAGAGGAAAAGTGTTCCTGCCATACATCAAGGGAACCACTGATCGCATAGGGAAGCTGATGAGGAAACACAACATACAAACAATCTACAAACCCACCAAGAAAATCCAACAAATGCTACGTTCAGCAAAGGACAAGAGGGATCTCTCACCTCTGCAGGAGTCTACCGTATACCATGCAGCTGTGGACAAGTCTACATAGGGACCACCAAACGCAGCGCCCAGACACGCATCAAGGAACATGAAAGGTACTGCAGACTACTTCAACCAGAGAAGTCAGCCATAGCAGAGCACCTGATGAACCAGCCTGGACACAGAATATTATTTGAGAACACAGAAATGCTGGACCACACCAACAACCACCATGTCAGACTACACAGAGAAGCCATTGAAATCCACAAGCATGTGGACAATTTCAACAGAAAGGAAGAGACCATGAAAATGAACAAAATTTGGCTACCAGTATTAAAAAAACTCTAAAATTATAACAGCTAAACAACAGAGAGGAAAAAACCAGGCACAGATTAACACCTCCCAGCAACAGATTTTCCCAGACTCAGGCAGGCCTTCAAATGCTAATGAAGGTGATCAGCTAAACATTCACACCTAACTGCAGCAGGGAAGAGCTCCTTGCCCCACCCCAGCCATTCCACAGATATATAAACCCATTTTCCTACTTCCAACAGACCTTCAACCTCTGAGGATGCTTGCCATAGATGCAGGCGAAACGTCAGGAGAAATGCCTCTAGAACATGGCTCTATAGCCCGAAAAAACCCACAAGACCCTAGTGATTCCGGCCATGAAAGCCTTCGACAATACATAGATCATATTTTCCCTTCTTCATTTCTCTAGAAGTAAGACAAAGAAACTGTGGCTTCAGGTTATGTTGGATTCCAGCTCCTTATGGCATCTACCAACATCAATCTTATTAACAGCTGGAAGATAAAATTCATCATCCGTGTTCTAGAACCACAAGAACTAGCTCATTTTTAAAAAAACATGCTGGAAAGTATGCGTTAAGTTGCACTTTTGGAATGATGAAATAAGTGTGTTTTGCTCAGGCTGAAATCGTTTTAATCACTGTAATTCTCTCTCTGGATTGGAACCTGCAAGAAAACTCAGTTGTTTCTTTATGGTTTGTGGCTGATCTCTCTTTTGGTTAAATATGGGCTACATTGAGCTATCTGTGGAATATACAACCATTTTGTTCATTTACAGCATATTGTGGCATGGTCTGTGCAGATTCAGGAGGAAAGGATAGAGAAGGGATAGGCTTTGAAGGTTTGTGAGCTTTACCTGATGACAGATGAACTTCCTCAGCTCAATTTATATATTGTTTACCAATGGAAACCATTTTTAAAAAATCCAATAAAAACAACCTCACACCTGCCCTGCTCAGGAATTCTAAATCAAGACTGGACAGAAGGTAGATCATAATCTACTGTGAAAAATTAATCTCTGGATTATTTCCAGGGTAATAACAAGTGTCCAATTCCTATGATGTAAAAATAGCAATAACAAAAAAAAACCACTTTCCCGTCCTAAATTAGCCAGGACAAACTTTTATGGAAAAGGGCTGTGTATGTGCTTAAAATCTTTCATTAAAAACAAATATCTGGGCAAATTTATGTCCACCATGAGCCAAAATTTCATATCCAGCTCCAAATAATGGAAACTGAGGTTTAAAAAAACCAATAGTAAATCCTGGAAGTTAAATATCTATATATTATATTCTAAATCAGTGGTTCCCAATCTGTGTGGTCCATGGACGACCAGCAATCTGCAAGAACTAAAATATGGTCTGCAGTATCACCATTACTACACCATTGTAATAAGAGCAACTGGTCTCACAAAACCCTTATAGTACCAAGGCTTATTAAATATGGTTTTCTATGGAACAGGTGGAGACGACTAGATGGCATATTTCTGTATCAGAAATTAGAGCTGGCGTGGTTTATCCAATGCAATTTTCTGAACCAGCACCCCAAATAACCAAATCAAATCTAAAGTTGACCAAAAACCAATTCGTAACCCTTTTGGTACTAATGTTGGAGAGTGATCCATGGTCAAAATGGTCCCTGGTCAAGTGGTCCTTAGTCAATTGGTTCCTGGTCAGAGTGGTCCCTAGTCAAGTAGTCCCTGGTCAAAGTGGTCCCTAGCCAAATGGTTCCTGATCAAAGTGGTCCCTGGTCAATAAAAGGTTGGGAACCACTGTTCTAAATCAACACACAGTAAGGTTTCCACTATATATATATAACTTCTATTCTAAACCACTAAATAATGCTTAACGATATTTTGTTCATCTATATTTGACATAAATATCATAAACTGCTTATGCTCATATCTCATAATAAAAAAACAGAAATGTTAGTGTCATTGCTTAGAAACTTCACTGAGTTAGAGTATTTTGTGTCTTTTCTGTAATCATATCTACACTAAAAACGATGAGATGCTAAGATATATCAGGATGCAGAAAACCCATAGTATGACTAAAATGTCCTAATATGTAGTGTACATAGCATGTAACAACCCGGGGGTTGGCATGCCTATGTATTCTATAGTCATTTTCCAGATTTTACTGAAGTTTCATTTCTTCCTGTGCTCTCTCACTCCTTTTGACCTTTTGATCCAAGCATCAGAATAAGATAGTATGATCAATCTGTGCTAAAAGAAATATGTGATTTACAGTTTCGTTAGTGCTCTAGTTTTGAAAAAATAAAATATTATTTAAATATCATATTTTGTCTATTTTTTTAAAAAAAATCACTCAGTGGCTCAATATAAATATAAAGCTATTTTATGCTTGGCTAAATTTACATCCTGATAATTTTTCATTTTAAACAGAAAGAAACATACCTGCTCCTTTTTTTGTTGCCCCAGCCCAATGTAGGATGATAAAACTTGCTACAACTGAAAGAGAAAAAAAGACATTAGTTGAAATAATAGATTAATCAAAGAAGGAAAATATCTAACAACAAATGAAAAATGTGTTTTGTGGCCCTGTTTAGTTATGTAATCACTTACTGGAGGTAGTTTAAAAAGTATTATAGAGTTCAACCAAATGGCTACTCCATGGTCATAGTGAAAGCCATGTCACTACATGAACACATTAAGACTATATGTCTATGCCCACTTAGTGGAGAGTAAGCCACACTGAACTCAGTAGAACTCATTTTCAAGCAGGCATGGCTTGAGATTGGCTGTTAGTATTCCAGTGAACTGGAGTGGGTGATATAATATTAAATTCTATTATTAAAGCTACTAACGGTTTGGCAAAACCATGTATACACCGAATATAATCATTGCAGTTATTGTTACCTACAATTCACATTCAACTAGCCAGAAAAAACTCATTTCATATTATTTGACTTAATTTTACATTATCCAAATAAGCCAAGCCAGTTTGCTATCAGCAGAGCAACATTCTCTTATGAAGTTAACTAATTCGGGAAGATTATTTTCCAGCACACCCTTAGAATTCACCCCTTATTCTTGTTCTTATTCTTGTTCTTCAAGAGGAATTGTATAGGTTTCTGGGAAAAGCTGACTGGAAAAAGATATAGGAAATGTCTCTTACACAAAACTTTCTTAGATAAAACTGCATAGTTCAAAGTCTTTATTTTTCATTCTTTAGCTGCATCTGATGAAATGGGAATTGTTTGTGATATCCTTAGTTTCAACATTAACAGCCAAATTAGTGATTGCTTACATAGACAAGCACTATGTAAGCACCATTTTGCTGAGTATTATGTGTTGGCCGAGTATTTTAAGGCTGGACATTTCCTTAGCAGAGAAAATACTATTACACAACCTCAGAGGATGCCAGCCATAGATGTAGGAGAAATGTCAGGAGAAAATGCCTCTGGAGCATGGCCATACAGCCCAGAAAACTCACAGAAACCCAAAATACTATTTGCTTTTGATGATGAACTAACAAACAGGATAACAGAACCACAGTTTCTGTAAACTGCTTTGATTGATGATGTTACATCCATAAACCCACTGTTACTTAAGTATACATTTATTGGATATTATTCATATTTTAATATATACTCATAATGTGTTCACTATGTTTGTTTCCCTATATAAGTTTTGCACAACTGTAAATTCTCTAATGTTTTTTTAAAATGGATTGTTCCAATATTTGGGATTTAATAAGCCTGCAGTATTGTTACAGCTTGAAACATGAGCACAGTGAAGCTATGCATTTACTAATACATATTTTATGTGGGAGAGAAACAATAAATGTATTATTTGCCTATCGAAATATCATTGCACATATTTTCTCAATAATATAAAGGTCTGATCTTTGAATCTAGAAAACTAGGGAGCAAAAATTGATCCCCTGTATGGTACTTTTATAAGGCATTTAGCACACACTAAATGTGTTAAAAGTTCTAATCAGTAGTATTTTAAAGACATTAATTGTTTTATTTACATTTGGAACAGAGGTGAGGGGATTATTATTTCTTCAAGATCATCTAATGAATAAAGTTAATAAATTCTCCATTTATCTGGCTATATCGTAACTACCATTTTAGCAGCCATTTACATAAAATGAGAAGGAATAACTAGCAATATAAACAGTAATGATGTGTCATTCCTGACCATTTAGGATACTATGCAGGAATCAGGATACATTCTTTGATATGCAACCCTTGACATCAAGACTGAGCTTTTAGACAATTGAAGAAAGACATTATAGTGTATCTGCACTATCAAGTGCAAACATTACTTTGAAATTTCTTGAATAGTTATCATAGCAGACCCTGGTCTGAAAAATATAACTCTTCTAAAAAGGAATGATGTCCACCCACTGGTCAGTTATATCCTCATGAGATTGGTCTCATTGCTTTCAGCCATTTTTATAGCTATAACAGTCAAAGCATGTGAACATGAGTGTGCACACAGGCACATGTGTGTGCACACACACACTGGTTGAGCCACAAACACTCCACACATAACCAGAGCATGCTTCATCTTTTCCATAGAGATCCAATTGAACAAAAGAACTTCAGGAAGTTCATGGTTTCACTATCTTGACTTCCTTTTGTAGCTACCCAAGATCTCTGAAAAGCCACCCAGAGGTCCAAGACATTGCTAGCAGAAGGGAAGATTTTCCTTTTGAACTTGTTTAATTTGCCTTAGGATTTGAGAGCAGTTTCAGCAGCTTATAGTATCCAATCCACATTGTACTGAATATGTTTTGGAGACCTTTGGGACTAGTAATAATAGAAGAAAAAAGGAAATATTTTTAGGAGCCATGTTATCATTTTCATCGGAAGTTTTGAACTTATCACAAGGATCCATGTATTGACAGTGAAAGAATGTGCCTCCACTAGCAGTTGTCAAGGACATGAGGAGTAACATGATGGCACCATGCCACAGAAGAAGTGCCCCTTAGTGTTGTGGCATGGGATTAGAGATCTTATTTTGATGTCATCCCAGTGGCAAGTGTTATATATGCTTTGATTCATAGTGAGTCCTGAACATAGGTCCTGACAGGCCTCAGCTACTTGACCACATACATTTTATATCCACCTGCAAAGCTACCAGACTGTTTGTACACACCTGCAATCTGCCACTCTATTTCTGCCTTTCTGTCTCATACTTCCTTGCTTTTTTATACAATGGATCTTTCCACCTTTCTTCCATTTCCAGCCTTTCCACAGCATCTAGGCTGTCAATTCAACATACTGCTTTAACATTATGCTATGTGGGGTAATTTTGCAAGTCATTATTTAAAAGCAGTACTGCCAATTTCATAATAAACATATCCTTGCTGTAAAGACTAGGAAAACTCAAGTTTTTTTTTCACCCTTCAGGATATATATGAGAAACTGGATGAATTCTACATATGAATGCAGTGCTCAGTTTAGACAAACAAGCCTTATAAAGGAGTCCAAACTGTCTAGCCTCAAGACTACACACTGGAAAAACAGTTGGTCTCCTGACTGGTTAAAATGCTAGACTACTAGGGGGGAATTCAGATCTTGGCACACCTATAAAGCTGATCTGGTTACTTTAGCTCCTGAAATGTAGATAAATAAATAATGGTATAACTAATCCCTTCCCATATCTCAAGTCAAATAATTCATCTGTGACACCATTCTAAGTCACAGTTGCCCTTATAAGTGGGGAAAGAGCTGGATTTGTCTCAGCCACACTTTATTTTCTTCTGTTAGCGTTGTGAAAGTCAGCATCATGCATTCTTAAAAATGTATTGTGTTAAAACTAATTAATTGGAAAGAGCCCCTGAGCAATCTATCAAGAACCACTGAAAAATGGGAATAATACTCTTCCAGCAGGTATGCAGTGGAAAACATATTTTCCACCATATATTAAGTCCTTCCTCGGAATGGATTAGCATGCCAGAGAACACAGGAGGAGTGAAGTAGATGGGACTGATTTTGATTTCTAGATATAAACGTTCATAAGATTTATTCCAGTATTCCAAATTGGTTAGTAACAATTTAATAGTCAGCATGCAATATATAGATGTTAAAAGTTGTCATTTTTAATGGAAGAAATTAAGAAAGCTACCAACACTTGTCCTCAACTGCATTTATACAAAATACTCCAATTTCATAAAGAATGCTATAAAGCCACATAGTGATTCTAAAAGAGCCAATGTGGTTTCAAGGATTCCAAGAATGGAAGGAAGGAAAGAACAATTCATAAGCTGTTCTTTGACAAAAGGATTTTGAGGCATGCATAGTGCATACATTGTGAATTAAGGTGCTACCATGGACAGCTCCTAGTCCAAGGCATTGTGCAGTGTGCTCCATCTACTGACATTGTTTCTGATATGGAAAAAGTTTGAAGGAGTGGAAAGAAAACATTGCCACATTATAAAGGGAAGAAGAAGAATTACTTTTTTTTCCATTCCATGGGAATTGTACAAGAAAATGCTTGCCTAAGCATAGGTTCCTATTATAATACCATATAATGTTTTAAATTCATGAACGCTTTCATCAAAATCAGTATGTTGTACTCAGTCATACTTTTTAAACCCATTCACTAATGTTAGTTTCTCATAAGCAAGCCCAGGTTCATTTTGATGAAACCAATCTCTGTAGACTAGATTGATTTTGAGTTTAACTACAAGACGAATTGTATTTGTGTGATCTAGAACAGGTGCATTTGGCAGGAAAACCAAATGGTTGAAAGAATTTAATTCCAGCCAAGTCTGCTTACAAGCACAACTGTTCAGCAGTATCCTGTGCAAGTTTACTCAGCCCCAGTGAGTTTCACAAGGTTTAATCCTGAGTAAGTTACATCTTGAGTGAATCATGGAAATAAATTCATAAAATCTAAGGATAATGTCACTAAATTATTTCCGTCTTTACCTGAAAAATGGCCATAGCAGTGACATTAAATGGGCATTGTAATTTCAAACAAAGTATACTGATTTAAATTTTGGATATTGCAAATTCGGATATTGCAAATTCGGGAACACCTTGGAAAAATCAAATAAGTTAACCATTCCTACTGGCTGCTACACATGGATGCTAATGATTTGTTTCTGGATAGATCCAATTTAGAACATTAATTTTCACATGATTTCAAAAGTAATAATGAAAAATCTATCTTCCTCTCAAATGTTCAATTTCTAAGGCCTCTATTAAAGGGAAGCTACATAGAGATGCTGTGGCACCTTGACAAACCTGTTCCCATCACTGGAATTCAGAGAAGTAAAAACAACAAGAGTTTGAATCATATTTGTGTTCATTTTTCTTTCTCATTTGCTACTATATCAGTATAGGGCCTACATACTCCAAAGAGATCAGAATCCATCTGATCTTGGAAGCTAATGAGAGTCAGCTCTGGTTAGTACTTGGATAACAAACAAATACCAGGAACTGTAGATTACATTTCAGAGGAAGGGACTGCCAACATCACCTCTGAGTATTCCTTACCTAAGAAAACCCTACAAAATGCATAGGGTTGCAATAAATTAATGACATACACACACAGAGGAAACTTGGCATTTTGTTTTCTGCTGTTTTACAATCCCAATTTAATTCTCTCCCTGCTCAATATACTAATATAACTTGGTGATATAAGCCAAGAACAGGGAAATAGACAGAAGACAAACTAAAGCTTCACTGGAGCTCAAAAATGAGTTAGTGTTCCCAGTTAAGAAAACAAAAAGTGTTTAGTCCAGGTACTTGGTCTCACTTGTGTATCAGGATGTTGGTAGCGTCTACCATCTTATTACTTCTTTCTAACTCAAACTAATACAGAACCAGCCATATATGAGTACTTAAAAGAAACACTAGGTAAGTAGATAAACAGACAACTGATGTGGAACACATCAGTAAAATAGTAACAGTTCTCAAGAAAAACTTTTAAAATCATATGTTGGGGAAAGAAATGAAGGAAAGCTGTTACTTCTACACCAGGCATGGGCATACTTTGGCCCTCCAGGACTTCAACTCCCACAATCCCTAACAGTCACCAGGCTGTTAGGAGTTGTGGGAGTGGAATTCCAAAACACCTATAAGGCCAAAGTTTGCCCATGCCTGTTCTACACTGTGGACATATTAAGAACCAATTTCAATCCAAATAACTGATGAGGATGGGATGAGTACAGTGGAAACACAGCAGCAGTGGAATTAATCCTGACTAATGACAGTAATCAATGCGTGTATCTTCTGGATTAGTGCTGATGCTGGGGAATTGGCACCAGGGAGGGATATGTGTGTCATTTGATTACAACCCAGCCTCAAACCTTAAACTCTGGGTCCGATGCAAAGAGATGGGATGAACATTATCAGAAGTTCAGTTGCCTCCATTCGGGGAATGGGTTTTTTTTTCTTAACGGAAGCAAGGGCCATTGAGTCCTGTTAGACAGGCATCCAAGTTACCCAAACTACAAACCCCAGAATTCTGCAGGAGGCAGAAACCGGATTTAAAGTGGATTCATTCTCTAGTGTGATGAGGTCCTTGGTCATTGAAGACTGCAGCCAGCAAGGGAGGGGGAAGAGAGGGGCTTTCTAATCCCTTCTCCTACACAATTATGTAGTTAAGTCCCGTTGATTCTTGTGCTGCTGAGCTTACCCTGGCCTAAACCCTCTATAGCTCAGCTGAGCCATGGAGAGAGTCAAGAGTGGAGAGAGTTTTGCAGATCAATCCCACCCCCCTCCTTCTCCCCTCACTCCATATCCCTCCTCATGACTTTGAAAGCAATTCGCTCTGGGAGCCTCCTGAATTTCATCCGTAGTAGAAGCAAAAGCAACGAATGTCCAGCAGCAGAGGGGGGGGGGTGGTGGAGGAAAAGGAGAGTTGGGATGGGAGATTTACACCTACGCCATTAAGCTTCCTGCATCTCTTTCCTGGATGTGGGTAGTTGGTAGGGACAGAAAAGAGGGGGGGGGGTTGGGGGGTTGGGAGGGAGAGAGAGAGAGAGAGAGAGATAGAGAGATGTGGACTCACTGTGAATCAAGCTGCGCCCATGGATCATGTCTGTTCCTTACACCAGGGCCTCCGCTCTCCACTAATTCCATTTAGAGACGGGAGGGCTTCTTCCAGCGGCGGGCGGAGGGCGGGAGCAGGGCAGCCCGGCAGCCCACGCGCGCCTCAAGTCCACGCCGACTGGGCCCCCGCGGGATCCGCGTCCCCGGGCAGCTCTGGCTCTCCCCCTCAGCCCCCCATCGCCAGAGCCCCGGGCTCCAGCCAACAGCATCGGGTCCTACCAGCCGCCGCCGCCGCGGAGGAGGAGGAGGAGGAGGAGGAGAGTCTGCATAACTCGCCCAGGAGCGGCGAGGAAAGACAGAGAGGCGAGAAGAGGCAGAGGATCGAGAGAGGTGGCGGCAGTCCCCCGCCGCCGGCCAGAGCCACCCCTTGGGCTCCGGGAGGGAGGGAGGGAGGGAGGGCAACTTTGGCTCCTAATCGCCGGTTTCGTAGCCCACCACCAAGAGCCCCAAAGCTTCCCGGGAGAGAGGCGAGGCCACGCGTTCCCGGCCTTGGGGGTCTCCGCGATGCATCCAAAGGCGGGCCACGGGGTCCCTCATCAGTTCTTCCAAAAGAGGGAGCGCAGAGCAAGGCCTGGCTTCACCCGACCGGGGGCCACGTCTTCCTCGCCGGGGCCATGCAATCCGTCTTCTCCTTAGGGGCGAAATCCCTTCACCCCGGGCAAATCCATCTCACCCCCCTTGGGGCAGCAAGTCGAGGCGGAGGGAGGAGAGCAGCGCCTGGGACGAGAAGGTGATAGAAACAGGAGAGTCCTGGCTGGAGGGAGGTCTCCTCGTCGSCCAAGCAAGCTAGAGAAGGGCCCCTCCTCCCGCCCCCTTTTCCTCCAGGATCCAAACTATCCCTCCTTCTCCGATCCTAGGACCTCCATTCGCAATAGAAGAGAAGGGCAGCTGGAGGCAGAGGAAGAAACAAAAGTTTAGGGAGGAATCCAGAGAAATGGGTCCTCTGCTTCCTTCCAAGTCAAAGCTCCATCCTTGAAGGCAGGCGCCGGGAGAGAGGAGGAGGAGGAAGGAGACAGAGGAGGAAGGAGGGAGGGGAGAGGGAGGGGGCGTGGGGTCTGACACCAAACTCGGAGGCTCAGCAATCAAGGAGAGGGGAGGGGGAAAGAGGGCGCTCCTCTAGCTCCGTCCTTTCGGAGCGCCTGCTTTGCGGAAGCCGCTGCCAAGGGCAAAGTCCGCAGTCCCGGCTCTTTCCTTCTTTCCTTCCCGCGCCGGGGTTTTCCCAGCCAGCCAGTCCTCCTCCTCCTCCTTTTCCTTTCCTTCTGGTCCACTCGGGAAGAAGCAGCAGAGGGGGGGGGGGCTGCGTGGGGAGAGGAAAGAGGCYAGTGGGGAAACGGCTCCGGGACAGAAAACGAGGGCTTCTCCACGCTCCCTGCCTCCTCCAACACCTGCTGCTTCTCGAAGCTGATGCAGAGCGGAGAGGGGAGGGGCAGGCTGGGACGCTGCGGAGGGAAAAAGCGCGGGAGGATTCCGGAGCTGAGGAGGGCTGCTTCTCTGTCTCTCTTCTCTCTCTCTCTCTCTCTCTGCTAATCCAGCCGCATCACAATGTGTGGGAGGGGGCTGGCCTCAACGCCGTGGGAGGGTCCCCTTGCGCCCCTTTTTGGTTCTCTCTTCTAAGAGGGAGGCAACTCCGCTGTGCAGGCACCGACCTCAAACGCTTTCCCCTCAGAGTAAACAGACCTCTGCCAAAGATGCAGGTGAAACGTCAGAAGAGAATGCTTCTAGAACATAGCCATTCAGCCCGAAAAACCTACAACAACCCAGTGATTCTGGCCATGAAAGCCTTCCACAACACATTAGACAGCTACTCATCGGAATAAGTTTGCAAGGGCCTTGGGGGTGATGCCAGGCAGGCGCCCAGCCCGGGCAGGCTTGTAGGCAGGGTCAGAAGTGGTTTCCCTCCCGTGTCGGCTGCCTTCCTTCCCCGCGTGGGCTCCTTGCGCTCGACCTTGGGCAGGGAGCCAGGCCAGCTGGAGGGCCAGAGGAGGGGCTCCGAGGAAGGAGCGCGGTCGCGACCTCAGGCAGCGGGAAGCGGGGGCGTCTTGGCGCCAAGAAAGAGGCCAGAGGCTCAGGCTCCCGTGCCCCGCTTCGCCCGCCCTGGAGGGACTCCCTAGCCTACCAGGGCGGGGAAAAAGGAAAGGCAGGCAGAGCGCAGCCTCAAGCCACTGGCTCTGAGGATCCTTCGTGCTCTGAGCCCCTCAAGCGGAACACTCTAAGTCTAAGGCATCTGTTGGGAAGTTTGCCTGTATGAATGGCAGCTCACAAAGGGTTCCCGCGCTTGTTTCGGTCCTGTCAGATCCGAGGCAGAGTTGCCCACAACCGAAATGGGATTCCGCTTCTGTTGAGGCGCGAATCGAGTCGGCAGCTGCAGGGAGAACCCACGAAGCCAAAACCGGTTTTCGCCCATGTTTGCCTCCATCATGTAAACATGGAGTCACGGGTTTGCCAGTCACAGATATTGCAGTGTGTTATCGAAGACTTTCATGGCCGGACTGAAGATCGACAGGTCGAAGGTTCGAATCCAGGGAGAGCGCGGATGAGCTCTCTCTGTCAACTCCAGTTCCCCATGCGGGGACATCAGAGAAGCCTGCCACAAGGATGGTAAAACATCCGGGCGTCCCCCGAGTAACGTCCTTGCAGACGGCCAATTCTCTCACACCAGAAAAAACTTGCAATTTCTCAAGTCGCTCCTGACACTATCGGCATGTTGCAGAAGCATTCTCTCCTGACGTTTCACCTAAATTCACAGAGGTGGTGAGTTCTGTTGGAAACTAGGCAAGTGGGTTTATATATCTGGAATGTCCACGGTGGAAGAACGAACTCTTGTCTGCTTGAGGCAGGTGTGAATGCTGCAATTGACCACCTTGATTAGAATGGAATAGCCTTGCAGCTTCAAAGCCTGGTTGGTTGCTGCCTGTGGGAATCCTTTGTTGGGAAGTGTTAACTGGCTCTGATTGGTGTCTGGAATTACCCTGCTTTTTGAGAGTTGTTCTTTTCCTTTACTGTCCCAATTTAGAGGGGTTTTTTAAAATACTGGTAGCCAGATTTTGTTCATTTTCATGGTTTTCTCCTTTCTGTTGAAATTCTAAAATCAGGACGCTAAATAAAGAGCAGGGGTATTTCAAACAGGAAACAATCAGGGCCAGCGAACACCTCCCAACAAAGAATTCCCACAGGCATCAAGCAGCCAGACTTTGAAGCTGCCTCACCCTGGGCATTCCACAGATAGCTAAACCTCACCTGCCCAGTTTCCAACAGATTTTGAATTGGGGGTTGGGGGCTGAGTCTGAGTCTGCGTGAAAGAGGGTCTACCCTAGCAAACCTTTTGTATCGTTACCCCAATACCCCCATGTATATGAGATATATTGAGCATGGTGATCAGCTCATGATATGAATGAACGTAACAGTTTAAATAATGTACAAGTAAGGCCTTCTCGCAGACCACCATGAGAATTTCGGGGGGGGGGGGCTGAAGCCCCCAAAGCCCCCCCCCCCCCGCTACATGCCTGCCAAGAACATTTGTGAACTCATCCCAACAAATGGGATTCCTTTCCTTTCCATTTTTATTTCTCTCTTTCAATATTCAATTTTTTTTAAAAAAAAATTGCTTGAATTGAATAAGTCTTTTGCTAGATATCACCCACTCTTGCTTTCGGGGCCACCCTTGTGAATCTGGACCTTGGTATCAACCAAATGAGGGAAGCCAGACTCTTCATCATCTTTAGACATATAGGGGAAGCTGTGAATAACCGCCAAGACCCATCTTTTAAAAAAAAACACCCTTTCTTTCTGCTTTCTGTTCTTTCCCTTCTTCCTCCCCCACCCTCTGAGCAACAGAGGAATCTCCTGTTTGTAGCAAAGGCTGAGGAGAGGAAGAGAGCCTGAGCCAGCCAACTTTGACAACATTCCCTGCAGGGCAATGCAGGCAACCTTATGGCTAAGTTTCAAGTTATGGTTTGCTTACAAAAGATTACAATAAGAAAAAAGTGGGGGGAGGAAACCGCTGAATAGGCTGTTCTGGGCATAAATGTGCTGTGTCGCCTTTTCTCTAAGCAACCATCTCTCCTTCCTCTTGCCAGATGTAGGCTATATGTTGGACAAAGAAAAGATGTCTGGATCGGGGACATAATTTCACAGTGCTTTCCAGGTGGATGTTGTGCCCTGCAGGATTTAAAAGATTTAAAAGGGGGCTGTACGGGAAAGACAAGAACAGTTCGAATTCATACTTGGCAATCTAGGATGAACAGTTGCTGTCAAGTCAGCTTTGATTTGTGGTGACCCAATGAAGGAGAGGTTTCCAAGACACCTCAGGTCTTGCAAACCAAATGTTGTGGCTTCCTTGATACAATCTATCCAGGTTTAATGTGCAACATCTGCTGGATAATGGAGGAAGGCAAGGAGTTTCAGAAAAAAATCTATTTCAGTTTTATTGACTATTCTAAAGCCTTTGACTGTGTGTATCCTAATAAACTGTGGCAAGTTCTTGGTGGTATGGGGATACCAAACCACCCTGTCTGTCTCCTGAGGTTATCTGTATAACAACCAAGTAGCAACAGTAAGAACAGACCACAGAAAAACAGACTGGTTCAAGATTGGAAAGGAGTACGGCACGGCTGTATATTCTCACCCTACCTATTCAACTTGTATGCAAAACACATGCTTGATGTCCAAAGCTGGAGTTAAAATTGCTGGATGAAATATTAACAACCTTAGATATGCAGATGATATCACTTTAATGGTTAAAAGCGAGGGGGAGTTGAGGAGCCTGATAACTAAGGTGAAAGAAGAAAGTGCAAAAGCTGGGTTGCAGTTAAACATAAAAAACCCCAAGATTATGGCAACCAGACTGATTGATAACTGGCAAACAGAGGGGGAAAACACAGAGGCAGAGACAGACTTTGTATTTCTAGGCATGAAGATTACTGCAGATGCAGACTGCAGCCAGGAAATCAGAAGACGGTTACTTCTTAGGATGAAAGCAATGATCAATCTCGATAAAATAGTGAAAACTAGAGACATCACACTGGCAACAAAGATCTGCATAGTTAAAGCAATGGTATTCCCCGTAGTAACTTATGGAGGTGAGAGCTGGACCATAAGGAAGGCTGAGCGAAGGAATATTGACGCTTTTGAACTGTGGTGTTGGAGGAAAATTCTGAGAGTGAGCTGGACTGCAAGAAGATCAAACCAGTCCATACTCCAGGAAATAAAGCCCAACTGCTCATTGGAGGGAAGAATATTAGAGGCAAAGATGAAGTACTTTGGCCACATAATGAGAAGACAGGAAAGCTTGGAGACTATAATGATGCTGGGGAAA